AAACTGTAACATTACTCTAAACATGCTTATATGACCAAAATATACAGCAAATATTTAAATTTTCAAAACCCATTATAGTAAAAGACACATTGCCATTAACCTACCTGAAAATCTTTCCTCTCACATATCCCATCATTCTTACTACTTTCTCAAGAAGTTCTGGAAGTCCTCTTTCATGAATGACCATGAAAGGTAAAGGCTTTGAAATAACTGATACGGAGGCAGCCATCATATCACAACTGAAGACACTGATGAAAGAGGATTTCCAGAACTGCTTCCAAAAGTGGCAAGAATGATGGGGCAAGTTTGTGTGGAGTAAAGGTGAGTATTTTGAGAAGGATTAATAGCAATGTGTAATAAGTTTTTAAAGATTTAACCATTCACTGTACTTTTTATCATACCTTGTCCATATTAAGGAGGGAAAACTGAATACTGTAGTATTTCTAATCTGCTTTTTCATTACATATGAAAGCTATGATAGAAATTGAGACAGAATCCTTTGTTGTTTAAATACCCATCAATTAAGAATATTCTAACTCACTTTACTAACACTATAGAAATAGAAGCAATATAACAGAATGAGGATTAAACACTGTAATGGTTTTAGAAACAAAATGGCAAAGTTTCTTATGTGGATTTGGAATAGTGTACCTCCTATATACTAAAAACTGAAAACTTCTAAAAAGTACATACTAATTATTGGACAAGAATTAAATTATGCTGTTAGATTTGCTTAAAATATGGTAGAAAATACCAAAAAACTCAAAATGGAAATGTACAATGTTTTTTCAATAAACCATAAAACATTACCTGTTATATGAAATACAGACAGAACAAAGTTACTTTCATAAAAAAAAAAAGTTTGGAGGGTTTTTTTTTTTTTTTTGAAAAATATTTAATGTACTGTGTGGGTCATCTTTAAAAGAATTATGGTTAGCACAGTAAAATTCCAGCAATGGTAGCCACATCTATTTTCATAGTCTAAAATTAGTGAACTATATAAAGAATAGAAATGCCCAGAACACAGTATTAAATGAAAATGTTTTCTTTATATTTTTCTATTTTAATAAAATACAGCAATATTCTTCTTAAACATACATTTCCCCACCTATTTAGTCAATAAAAATGTATTTACGTAAACAAAAATATAGATATGATCAAAATACTGTGGATACAATTTAAAAATCACTTCACAATAAATTATGGGGACCATCCTTGTTTTTTCATCCTAATACAGTGCCTGACAGACAGTAGACACTCCATATATGTTTAATGAATAGCTAAGCATAATCTGTTATTCATTTACATTCCAAATACAGACACATTTGCAAAAGTACATTAGTTGGATATAGGCTTTCTGGCTGACTTCATGGGGTCCCACTGATGACTAGGAGTAAATCTTCATATCCACAGAAAACTGGAAAGTTGGTAATTGTCTGGGTAAGGACCAAAAAAACAAAGTCAGGGAAACATATCACCTAAGTAACAGTTGCTTTACAGCGTTGGTAAAAGCGGGCTAATCACCCCAACAACCTATTGTACCGTTCACTCAAATGAAATGAAATTTAAGTGCCTTCTGAACATTTATAAATACTTTATGTGAAATCTTAAAAATCAATGTCAAAATAAATCACTTTTTTCAAATTCCATCCTATATAAGGGTTAGAAAGGAAAAATTTTTTACTTATTATTAAGAGTACTACATTGTTAGCAATAATTAATTTGGCTGTTAACTAGAAAAAAATGAAACCACAGTAGAAATAAGGAAAAAAATTCTGAAAAGCTTTCATGACTGAAAATTGTAGCAGGGAAGAAAGTAAAAAGGAGGAGAGGAAAAGAATTTCACATCTGAGAGTAAAGAAAGTCAAATATGTCTGACTCTAAAATTCAAGTGGATCATGATAAACAACCAGTGGGGCTTATTGTACACCGTGTATTAGGCTGAAAGTGAGGGACACAAGTTTCAAGAAAACCAAAATCTTTGTCCTTAAATAGTTCACTAAGGCAACACTCATAAGTAAACATTTGTAATATAACATGAATTCTATTTCTTTTTTCTTTTTTTAAGTAATATGGGTCCTTAGTACAAGAATAGTAAGTATATTTCCAAACTAACTGGAAGTTTTTTTTTGGGGGGATTAGCATTAAAGAAGTAGAAATAGGGCCGGGGATTTAGCTCAGTGGTTCAGTGGCCTGCCTTGCAAGCGCAAGGACCCGAGTTCAATCCCCGGTACCAAAAAAAAAAAGAAGAAGGAGAAATAGGGCCGGGGATTTAGCTCAGTGGTTCAGTGGCCTGCCTTGCAAGCGCAAGGACCCGAGTTCAATCCCCGGTACCAAAAAAAAAAAGAAGAAGTAGAAATAGCTGTCAAAATAGTAATCCATGATGAGTAAAATGAATACTTCTTTTAAAGATCAGTAACAAATGACTGAATCGTGAATGGATAAAATTATAGCTCTAGTATTATTTACTTTAATATCCTTTAAAAAGTGTGTCTCCATATATAAAACACTTAAGTGCTACCCACAGAATATTGTACAGTTTCTTTTGATAAAGGACAATAAAGGAGTTAACATAGTAAGTGTTACAAAACCTGAGTTTTATAACTTTTTTGCTGCCTACTCACAGACCGTAGAACTTTTCACAAGTTCCTTCAAGTCTCTGAACTGCAGTAATATGGAAAATGAAGAGAAGAATAAAGTGACAGCCAAGATACCATCTAGTTGAAACATTACCATCTTAAAATATCAGTAGTTCTTACTACTTAAAAATTAAAGCATAACACAAAATAAAAGGCTTTGTAAATATAAATCATTATCCAACTTAAGTCTGGAATCATCCAACCATAAAAGAATCACCCTAGGGTTGGTAGGATAAGAAACATTTTCAAAGGAAAACAAATACAAAGTAAAGATATTACACTCAAGACTAAATTTGACTTATAGGCCTAATGGGCAACTACTACCTCAATTACCTACACAATTTGCTTACTTAACATTGATTTCCCCCCCCCCCCACTAAGTTCTGTTTCGTATCTCTTATGTTAAGCTTGTGGAGGTTCTAAGGTGAGAAGAAATAATTTTAAATGAAAGTGTAATAGTATTAATGTTGGGATAGAAACATGAAGTTGGCACAGATTTCTGCTTAAGTGCACCAATTACACTTCAGAGAAAGGTAAGAAACTATCCAATTTTATAACAAGAATAAGAGAAATAAAACCATATTGTTTACTGCTACATGGCTTTTCCTCCATGTGTAAATGGCTACTTTTGCACAGAGTTGGCAATTAAAATTTTACAGAACAAGTTTCTGCCTATGCAAATCTTTTCAGTCACTTAAATATGTATATTATGGTTTTGGCATATCATTAGGAAAATAAAAAAATTAAACGTCATCATGTATTTTATGACATTCATGTTAAATATCCTAGATTTAATCCTTTTAGATTTTTTTTTCATCCTTTCTAGTTGGTCAAATTGCCATTTGCATATTGCCAGTCTGCTCACAAGATTGCCGTTGTACAGACGATAATATTTTGTGCTGACATAAATTATGGAATGAGATACCAATGCAGTTATAAGAAAAAAAAATGTGCCTCTGTATATGAGAGAGAGAGAGAGAGAGAGAGAGAGACAGAGACAGAGACAGAGAGAGGCAGTATGTGTGCATACATCTTTAAGGAAAGGATAAAGAAATATATACAAAATACCACTTTCCGATGTAAGTCCTAGAAGGCCTACCTCAGAAACATACATACTAGCATTTGTCAAATAAAATACAGCACTGAATGAAAGCTATTCACTAAGAACGTACCATGTAAAAATGGAGAATAGTGATTTTTTACCCAAATTGTTCTTCTATAAGCTTAAATCTGGATTTACCCTACAATTTACATGTAACTACAAGTAATATATTACAAATTATAAGTTCGTGATTTCTTTGACTCATGAAAACATATTTTTAAAAATTGTCTCCTTTCCCATATAGTAAGCAATTTGATTCAGCACCTCAGGAGATGTATAACTCATCTCCATTTACAACAGCAAATAAATAATTCAGTTAAAACTGAAAGTGGTACCAATCCACCAAACTATTGATGGAGAGGTTAGGCCTTCCTTGCAGCCAGAACAACATAAAGTTTTCAATGGGGATTACCTGTTCAGACAAGTTACAAAGATTAGAAAAATACACAGTTAATTATTAAATAGCTAACATTTTCATCTTATGGAAAATAAACACTAAGAACATCTCTAGGAAAAGCTAATATCAATGGCATTTAAACTTTGAGCATTTTGTGCTTTGTATTTTATATACTCATATATGAAACAAATATTTAGCATAAAAAAGCAATAATATAAGCCAAATCCTAACCAAAGGCCTCTATCAACTAAAATTTTGAAATTTTCTATGCAAGTAAGACAAAACGAAAAATGGAGAAATTAGATCGGTAACGCCAAAAACAATCAAGTCTTCCAACGCTCAAGTCAATATCCACATCACATACAGGACCAAAAGGAGGAAAAACACTCAGATTTACAAATGGATAAGCAGTTCCAATACAATCCAGATCCCGACATTTTCCCACTCAGAAACAAATGCAGTAGAGCTTTTCCTGAGGAAAAAAGAAAAAAGCTCTCCAAATGAATTTTTTTAAGTGACATCTACAAAGTGTGCCTCTTTCTATCTCTTTCCCTAGCGCCTCATTGGAGGATGGAGGGGGTTGTTTTTGTATTCTCCCCCACTGGAGCAAGACACAATCAGATGTGAACTGGAGGAGAGAAACCACTTTTGACAACAGCAAATAAAAATAAAAGTGCCCTTCCTCCCTTGACAGGACGGGCATCCCACCTTACACATCCCTCCCCATTTCAAGCCCTCCTTCACTCACCCCCCCAGCACCACCCCCTCCTCACCCCGGAGCTCCACTGCGTATGTGGTTTGGTGCCACTGTTGCCCCGGAGTGAAAGTCAGAGCCAGAGGAAGCCCCCACAAACACACTTACCTTTCCTGCCCCCCACTTTTGAGTGCCTTCCCTGGAGCTGTGGAGGATGACACAAAGGGTAATAAAGGGGGGGAGTGGAGGAGGAGGAGGAGGAGAAGGAGGAGAGCTGGGGAAGTGGCTGCTCCTGGGTGTAGTGAGATGTCTCCAGCCAGGGCCAAGCAACAGCAGCAGCAGCAACAGCAACAGCAGCAACAGCAACAGCAGCAGCAGCAGCAGCAGCAACAGCAGCAACAGCAGCAGCAGCAGCAGCAACAGCAGCAGCAGCAGCAGCAGCAGAAGCAGCAAAAGGTCTGTGTTGCTAAGAGGCTTTTGGTCTCTTTCTCTCTTCCTCTCACGGCCAAAGAGAAGGAGGGTGGAGGGGGCTCGGGAGGGAGGCGAGTGGATGGGTGAGGGGGTAGGAGTCGTAGACGAGGGTTTTCGAAGAAGAAGAAACTCCTTCTCCTCTCTCAGGCTCAATCTCCCTCTCAGGGCTCAGGGCTGGAGGGTGGGGGAAGGAACTCAGCCACCTTCGCCCCCACCCCCCTCAATTCAAGGTTGAAGTGGGGTAAAATTAGTGTCCTGTCCCTTTAAAAATAGAAATAAAAGGTGCCCCCCCTCTGCCACAGCCTCTCTCTTCATCATCAGCTGCTGCTGCTGCTGGGGTCTCTCTGCTTGGGGGGGGAGGGGGGGCTCGGGTAGAAGAGACGGGAGAAACTCACTGCGCATGCCCCTCTCTGACGGGAGACTGGTTGGTTGAAGTCAGGAGGAGGGGGAGGGGAGGAAATGAGATGTTTTCCCAGAAGGCTCCGAGGCACTCGCGACCCGGAAGACATTGTAGCAGGGGGTAGAGGGGCGGGGGCGGGGAGGAGGAGGAAGTGGCTACTTTTTAACTCCCCCAACTCCCTCTCCCTCCTAAGGGAAAGTGAAGGAGCGGAAGTGGGCGTGGACAGAGGTGGAAGACGGTCACGTGGTTGGGCAGGAGGGGTTTGCGAGGAGAGGCGGTTCGTGCGCGGGGTTTGCCGGGAGTGGTCGTGTACCGCTGGCAGCAGCAGGTGAAGCTAAGCTGTGAACGTGGCGGGCAGAGCTGGTGCATAGGTTCACGCTGTTACAGAATCCCGACTTTGCCTTCCTGAAGGCTGACTTCTTCCTAAAGGTAATAAGAGTTATGTTGGCTTCACAGTGAAGGTCTTTGCGCCCGTGGCGGATGTTGAGTCGAAAGTGGAGGATCTAGGCCGGGCAGGCCAAAACCAGGCGGGCTCATTCTGGCCCTTGGCCTCCCCCTAAGCCTTACGACGAATAGCTGTAGTGAGTACTGAGAATAGTTTTGTATGGGGATTGTAGGTGGGATTTGTGGGTGAGGATAAGAGTGCAATGAGAGCTGAAGAGCCTGGGCAGGTGACTCTAATGATATTCCAGATCTCACAGCGGGAGACCTGTCCGAGAATGGAGAAGTCTGGTGTGGGGGATTTCGACCAGCTTCTTGGTAGCATTGCTTATATTGGGAATCGTGCCTGTTATTAGTTACCTTGTAAACCTGTCTGAATTCTGCAGTGTCTTGGGGGAGGAAACAGGCAGGAAGACTTTAGTCAAATTTCCCTCCAGGTCTCGCTTTGTTGCTGCAACATCAAGTCTATGCCTGTTCTCAAAGCGTTGTATGGTATTGTGTATGTAGTTCTTGATTCTGAGTTTTAGGATTTAAAGTTTTTCCTTCATGTAGTGTAGATGAGAAATCTTTAAAATAGGTCTTTCATCTTTTATAGGGAAGTAGCACATTTTTCACCTTCGTTTCGTGTAATCTTAAAATATTCCAGTCTTTCGGTTTTTCTTTGTCTTGGTACTTTGAAGAACTAGCATATTCTTTTTCACATTAATTTCATACAATCTTAATTGAAAACATTCTGATCTTTTGTAAAGATAATTTGAAGAATAACGTGTGTGTTTAAGAAATCTATAGTTTCTCTTACATATTGTGTATTTAATTGTATATTGTGGGTTCTTTGGGATGTGAAAGTTACTATTGTTCTACATTTTATTTTCTACCAGTTTTGGCAGTGAGCCCTAGTTATGCATAATTGTGTAATACTACTTTCAGTGTATACAGTAATCATGTCAGATGGAATCAAAACTATGCTGTGGCTTAAATTTTTTCATTTGAAAACCAAATGTCTTCTATCTTGTCATTCAAAAGAAGTATACAACAAAGCAATTAATGTGTCTTAGATACAATTGTTAAGTCTTTTTTATGATGAGATAGAGAATACATAGAAAAGTGCATAAAACGTAGACAAAATGAACAACGGTGTAGTGAACTGTTGTAATCACTACCAAAGTCAGGAACTAGAACAGTGGTGGGTCCTTTTCCCACCCATTCCTGATGTACCACTTTCCTCCCTGATTTTAACACTAGCTGGATTTTTTTGGTAATTATTTACTGCTTTTCTTTCTAGCATTTGTAAACCACCTATCAGCATCCCAAGTAATACGGATTAATTTTGCTTGTTTTTCAATACATAACTGGATTATATATTATTTCATATCTTTTTAAAAATTATACTGTTGCTGAGATTTTACCTAGTTTGTATATTTAGCTGTACTTTGTATATTTTTTTCTATACTGTCTATAGTATGGTAAGTCTTTTTTTAAATAATACACATTTCACAAGTCTAATATTAATGGACATTTTGTATGTTCAGTTTTTAGCAATTATTATGTCACTATGAATGGATCCTTATACACATAACTACATTTTAGACTGTATATCTTCAACTTTACTAGATTATGCCACAGTTTTCCATGTTGGATATACCAGTTGATAACTCTCGCAGTAGTTTATGGTACATCTCTTTATTTAAGTTTTACCAACAGTTATGTCTCAATTTTGCCAGTCCAGCAAATGTAGTTTTATTTTACTGTTGGCTTAATTTGCACTCCAAGAAGATTTACCACTTTAAAAAAAGAGTTATTGACTGTTTAAATTTCTTCTTCTGGATTTCTTTTTAATTATCAAAGTCATGCTGTTTTTCTGTTTGGCTGTGTTTTACTTAAAGATTTGTAGTGGTATTGCGTGTTTCTTCTCTGTGCTTAGAGCATTACTATCATCTTAGACAATAACTTCACATGTAGTTCATTTCTGGCTTATATGCTAAATTGTTGAAACTTGAATTTCATATGTAATTCTAACTACAGGAAGATAGTTCTTTCCTTTTGCTATCCATTAAGGTAGCCATTAGCTGGATGTGCCTTTTGATCGCTTGAAGTATGGCTAGTTTGACTGAGAAACTGAATTTTTATATAGTATGAATTTAAATGTGAAAACTGATAACTTGTTTGAGTTGTTGTAAAACCTTTACACTAGGAACACTTGGACATTAATCTGCTTTCTGTACGGTAAATTTTATAAAAGCTATGGAGCAACAAATGTTTTATGATAATTTAGCATATGCATCGTGATTTTATGTAAAGTTAAAATAACCAGCTTTCAGAAACATAGTATGAACACCAAATTTTAAAATACCTCAGCTTTTCAATATTACATATTAAAATTATAATTAGTTTCACCTTGTTTTTGTTGTTTAGTGTGAGTAGAAAATTTTAAATCAGTTTTGTGATGGGTTTCTCTTGGACAGCACTGTATTCAGCTATCAGAGATATTACCTACTTTGTTATTAATATTTTACTGCATTTCTAACTGTTCCTTTGAGTGTAGTCTTCAGAAGTTTCTTAATGCAGAGTGAAGAACTTGACCACTTCTCTTTTTTAGTAACTTTATAATGTCTTTTCCTTGCCTTCAATCTTAAAGAATATTTGGACCTGTTAAATTGTAGGTTTCTGGTTATTTGCTTTTCACTGTAACTTGTGTTTTTGTTTTTGTTTTTTAAACTGTCTTTCCCCAAAGTGTTGCAGATCAGTTACAACAAACAGAATGGGACCTCAAGGAAAATTGTTAACTCTGGGCTCCTTTTTGAATGCAGCAACTGTAGAAAAGCAGCTGCAGCTGCAATAAGGGCCACCTGTAACTTGTTGCTTTAAGAGCTCTTTGTAAGTTTTTTATTTTTATTTTATTTTTATGGGTTTTTTTTGAGACAGGGTCTCACTATGTAGTTCACACTGCTCTGGAACTCACTGTGTGCCCAGGCTGGTCTCACACTCACAGTGATCCTCATGCCTCAATTTCCCAAGTGCTGGGATTATAGGGATGCACCACCACACCTGGCGGTTACAAGTCTTTTAAACAGATGTATTTTTTTCAAGTATTTTGTTCCAGTCTGTGTCCTCTGTTTTCATTAACAATGCTATTTGCAGAGCAGAACTTTTCAATTTTAATAACAAAGTCCAACTTTCAATTAGCAACTCAACCTTGGGGTTCTCTGCCCTGAGCTACACATCAAGCCCCATTGATTGATTGATTGATTGATTGACTGATGTGACAGAGTCTTGCTTAGTTACCTGAGTTGGCCTCAAAACTTTCATGCACCTTGGGATGTCAGGTGGGCACCACCATACATACCTGGTATTTCTGCTTCATTTTTGAAGGATAATTTCACCTAATCAAAATCTACGTGTTTTGTTTTGTTTTTGGTTTATCTTTTCAGTACCTATAATGTATCTCATTCCACTTAGTTCTTACTTGCATGGTTTCTAAAGAGATACCGATGTAATTATCATTACTACACTGTACCTGGGATGTTTCCTTTGTCTTGTTTCATTTTCCTTTTATCTTTAATGTTTCTGTGGTAAAAGAAGAAGCATGTACTGGTACAAATTCCTTATGATGAATGTTACTACTATGTATATCTAAAAATATGCCAATAAATTTTTTGCTAAAAAAAAAATTAAAAATCAAATGTATGCCTAAGCATGAATTTTTCGTGTACTCAGATTCCTGGATCTGTAGTTGAGTGTCTCTAAATTAATTTTGGAAAAATCTTGATCATTGGCCAAATACTTCTGTTCTTTTTGTCTTCCAGTGTTTTTGTCTGAATATGTTAAAACTTTTGTAATTGTCTCACAGTTTGGGGGTTTTCTTTACCAATTTTTCATTAATTTTTTTCTTATTTTATTTAGAAGATAAGCACTGACATAACTAAGCCTCATAATTCTTTTTTTAATCATGTCTACATTGTTGAGCCCATCAAAGGCATTATTATTGCTTTTGCTTCTTAGAGTTGCCATCTCTTTGCTTATATTATCAATCTATAAATGATAAATTATCTTTTTTCTGATGGAACTATCACAATTTTAGTTGTTTTAAATTCCATAATCTCTACCGTATCTGAATCTTAGTCTGATTCTTGTTTCTTTAAGGTGTTTTTTGTTTGAGATTTTTGCTTTTTAGGGAGTGTTTTGTTTTATTTTGTTTAGATTTTGTCTTTCATCCTGCTATCCTTTATTTAAAGCCAGACAGAATGTGGATGTAAGAACTGGGAGTATAGGTCTTCACCAAGATTTTTATATTTATGCATCTCACAGTAATGCTGTATTTATTGTTTGCTGTAGCTACAGATCCTGAGCCTAAAATTTTGTCTTATGTCTTTGTTTTTGTCTTATGTATTTTCTTTTTGGGTTTCCTGGGGGTTTCTTAAATAAGATCTGATCCATTTTGAACCAAAACTTATTACATGTTAATCTTTTTAAAATTAAAAATAAACTGGTAGAGCCTTGCATAATAGCATACACCTATAATACCAGCCCGTGGGAGTTTGATGCATGAGAACATAAGAATGTAAAGTTTGAGGCCAGCCTGAGCAGCTTCGTAAAGACCCTGTCTCAGGACAAAAAAAAAATTTTTTTTGTTTTGTTTTTTGAGACAGGGTCTCACTGTGTAGTTGAGAGTGCCCTGAAACTCACTATGTAGCCCAGGCTGGTTTCGAACTCACAGCGATCCTCCTGCCTCAGCCTCCCGAGTGCTGGGATTACTGGCGTGCACCATCATGCACAGCAATAAAAATTTTTTTAAGTATATTTATTTGTGTTCATATGTATGTGTGTGTATGTATGATTCCAGGCATGCTGCTGAAGACTAGCAAAAGCTCAGAATTGAGATAAAATATGGCTTTTCTAGAGAATTAGAAAGCTTTCCTTTGAATTTATCATTTTTTAGTATTTAGACAGAAAATATTTTTCATTTTAATGATAAAGAAAATGCCATGTCATTAAAAGTTAGCTAAGACTTTTGAACCTTGGATTCACATAATCTGAAAGCAGTTTTTTTTGTTTTGTTTTGTTTTGTTTTGTTTTTTGGTGTTTTTTTTTTGGTTATTTTTTTGAGACAGGGTCTCACTATATAGTTGAGACTGACCTGGAACTCCTTATGTAGCCCAGGCTGGTCTCGAACTCACAGTGATCCTCCTGCCTCAGCCTCACGAGTGCTGGGATTACAAGTGTTCCCCACCACACCCGGTCTGAAAGCAGTTTTAAATACATTGTATTTATGTATATTCAGTGGGAAAGCGTGGGGCAAAAAGATCTTGTAAAACTCAGTGATTACTTAACTATTTAATCCCATTGTGGGCAAATTTTTCTAGAAATCATATAAAATAATTTTGTTTGAATTACTCTTACAGAGATTGTTTACCAGAGACTACCATGGCATGACTCACTAAATTTGCTTTTTTTTTTTTTTCTTTTTTTTTTTAGACAGGGTCTCACTATGTAGTTCAGACTGTCCTGGAACTCACTGTGTAGCCCAGGCCGGTCTGAAAATCATCGTGGTCCTCCTGAGTGGTGGGACTACAGGCATGTTCCACCACGCCTAGCACTTGCATATTTTTATAGAAAAATAATTTTTAACTGATCCCTTTAGGAAATGTCAGCAGTATGTTTGCTCAACTTGGATTTATACATATATTTCTCCTTTCCTATGGTCAGCCTTTCTTTTAATCTGTCTTTGTATTTATTTCCCACAACTCCAGCTGGATATAGTATTAAAAATAGCTTAAATCCTTTCCTTAGTTTATCTCAGAGATGACTAACAAAATATGAAAACCACTTAATAAGTTCTCATGAAATTCCTATTGTTAAACATTTGGCTACTTATCTAAGCAAAAGTATTTGCTATCTGAAGAGGGATAAAGTTTAAAGCTTTTGTCCATTCTTACCTTTTTGGAGGGATAATGTTAATTACCCAGAACTAGACACTCAATAATAGTAGAATTTGTACTTTAACTGTTTTCATATTTTAAAGGGAGGGTAGTGGTGATATTGTCTTTGATGTTGTCATCAGTGGAAATAAGAACCAGTGTTCACACCTCTTTATTTTGTGAAGAATTCTTTTCAAGAAAATATTAACATTTTTTCAATTACAATTAATGTATAAATGTGAAAATTTTTGTAATTGATTGTCACAAGATCAGTCAAACATTTTTAAACTATGCTTTCTGTGTAACACGTTTCTTTCAAAAAGCAGATTTATTTTGTACTTTGATCTCGAAATTCTAAAGTCATTTTTATTTGCTAAGCAACATACTGTTGTCTAGAAGCGACTTTTCATTCCCATAAAGATGTACAGTTGGAACACCTGGATTTCTGTGTTTCACTTTCAGAGTGAAAATTGTTTAATAAATACGTATCAAATTGAGCAAATCAACTGGATTCAGTAATAATTCCCAAGTTGGCCCATTTACCTACATTGTGTATTAATGAGCCGAAAGCAAATAAATATGTGATAATACCACTTACACATCCTCTTTTTTTCTTTGCACAGACTGCCTTAGTTATCATTGATCTACGGAATGAGATCTTTTTTATCTGTTAAGTCAATTTGATAATTTTAAAACAAAATAAATAGAATATATACGCACTTGTTTTCTCTTGTAAGGATTTTGGCATTCAGTTTTGTATCTCCTGCTATTCTGTCTAGTATACCCTTCATCGCAATTTGCTTTTTTCTTTCGTTGTCACTTCACTTAAAATAGTACCTGTATAAGATACCTGCTCTACTCAGTTTGCAATGACCAAAAGAAAAACAAGTTACCCTTTTTTGGTAATACCCAAATTTGCTGGATTTTGGATATGTATTAAATCCAAAAGAAAATATTCTCAAAGATTCGCATCAGTGTTGTTTTTTTTTAATTCCTTTTTTATGGTACATGTTTCAGTTCTGGAATATGTCTTCCTACTCTGAAAATTAGTACATCTAGGCATCTGCTGCATTTTTCATCTTTGTTGTATAAATTATTTTCATATTATGAAAATTTATTTCCCACCTATTTGCAATGTATTTTTAAAATAATTGTTTACTTTTATTGCTTTTAGTGTATTAAAAGATCACCATAAGATAGGTATGTGTGTGTCTATTTGTGTGTATAATTGTTTGTTTCAAATCATACTGGATTTCAGTATTAAGTTTTCTAGAGACTCCCAGCTGACATCATCCCCGCAAACACACACATACAAGGCCTCCTTATTCTCCTTTCCTTGCTTACTTTCTGGTGGTGTGGGGATTGAACCCAGGGCCACTAGCATACTAGGCACATTCAGTACCACTGAGCCATAGCCACAATACCAATAAGGCTTTTATTTGCTTTATATACTAAATTCAGTTATGCTTAATAAGGGTATACCTCTTACCCTTATATGTGCATGACATCTTCACTAAATATGAGTTATACTCTTTTTAAAAACTTTGTAGATATCTTTTCATTATATTTCAACATGTATTCTTTTTACCTTGTAATTTTAATAACAATTAGAATTTCTGTCAGTTCTTTTTTTCTCCCATATGTGGCATATTGGTGATAAGTTTTGGGATTTTGTTTGCCTGTACAGTTTTTTTTGTTTTTGTTTTTGTTTTGTTTTGCTTTTTGTATAAGGAATCAAACTTGGATCCTTGTGCTTGTGAGGTGGGTGGCCAGCCTGTACAGCTTTTGAAAACTAAGATAAAGCTGGGAGATATGTTTTTGTAGAATTTTCTAGGCCTTTATTTGTTTTTTCATTAGCTTAATGCTGCCTGCTAGGACTTTTATGTGTGTGCTACTGATACTCAAAGTCCAGAGTCTAGTGCATGCTAATAA